TGTTCAGAGGCAAAAGGTGCCCCCTTCTTTTTTCTCTTATTTTTATCTACTTCTCATCTCACTCATAAGTCATAGGATTGGGATTTTAACAGTTTATATTTCATATTTATAAAATTATAAGTAAAATATTAAAATTTTAAAACTAAATAAATAAAATCAAATAAAACTATTAAATTTTTAGTCAGTATAATTCAAAATAATAATAAAAAATATTTTATAAAATTATTTTTAAAAGCATAAAATCTAGACCGTTAAGCTTTTAATCTAAAAAGTTGAGATGAGAAATATATGGAAATAGAAAGAAAGAAAAGTGAAGAACCTCTTTACCCTTATGTTTGGTGAATCAAACCTAATTCACGACGTGATAAGAACAAATGGAAATTTGTTAACAATAATTTTCTTCTGGCTTTTAGAAATTTATCAAAATCAAATCATTTTTCAAAAATAAACCACTAGAAGCAATGCAGGTTTTCAGGAGTAAGACTTCTGATGTTTTAGAATCACCCAAATAATTTGACAAATGATAAAAAAGTCAGTAGTCGAATAAAAAAAAACCATACAAGGAAATAAAATAGAGCAAGTTATCCGTCAATTATAAGCTCAATCAAAAGATTCGATAATTATTCCCCCAGGTTGTCATCCTCATTAACAGTATATTTTTATTAAATGAAATGAAACCTTTTAAATATGCATTAGAAAAATAAACATAAAATAAATTTTACATTTATTAATTCTTGTATTTAATTTAATATTTCCTCTTATCTTAATTATAAAATATCGTTTATAACCTACAAATAACATCTTATGAATAAGATAAGAGATACCATCAATTTTTAAATTTTAATACACACGCATGACTTGCGTCTTCACTAAACAAAGCAAATGATCCGAGACAGGCTTGCAAGCACGAGACATCTGATGGTACGAACACGAAAAATGAATTGATAAATGGTTAGAAGTCAATGGTCGAATTGAAAATAGGAGCCCCACTGACCAAGATAATTAGATGTACAAGTCAACGATCCGAGAAGTGCGATTTTTCTTCTTCCTCTTCTTTTTGCCAACATAATTTTTTTTTCTTCTTCACTTATTATTACTAGATGAAGTCACATTAATCGCCTTGCCTTTTTTTTTCCCCCAGAAATTATACAAATTTTTCATAATCAGGACATACGTAAATAATATTAAAACAAAATAAAATCCACCCTCACTGAATTTTTTTTTTTAAAAAAATTATCATGGATCATGGGTATTGTAATATGTTCATTACAAAGCGTGCATGTTCTTGCTCGCTTCCTCCAAAAGAAAAGGCAGAAAGAAAGAAGACATATATGTTTGTGCTCTCGTCTGTTTTGGACATCTGCGGTGTATTCTGGTCCAAAAGCGGAGGTGTGTACGACTAGACCCTTTGCTGTAGTCTATTGGGCTTCCAAGGTTTTGACTTCGTTCGTCTTTTGGATCGCGGAAACACAAGGTCCAGGCGACGACGTGTTTTTTAGCAACAAATATGAAAATATTTCTGGGTTTTAATTTTTAAGCGCTCCATTCTCATTACATTCTAGAATTTTCTTCAAAAAAAAATATTGGAGAATATACAATTATGTATCTGTCATAGAAAGCGTTCTAGTTGCGGAATTAAAAGACAATTTTATTCAAACTAACCAGAAAATTAAAAGACAATTTTTTCTAAGGACCATCAGATGAACTGGCATCCAAGAGCCGTTTAAAATTATTTTATTACGTTTTATTCTAGCCAAGTGAAATACTCATAAGAAGGAGCGAAAGGGGGACCCGCAATAATGGAAGAACACAAACAGTTACACTTGTCCAATACAGTACCACCAGAATGGAGCTGGGTGATGAGATCGCAGAGTCTAAAGGTGCTACGTGGAGGTCATGCCAAGCAAATCTCGGTAGCAGTCAACCCAACGGCTCCCAGCTTTATTGGAACTAACTAACATCTGAAAGCGAAAAAAACCATAAACTCGGTCTACCATAATTAACCGCATGTTAAAGCAAGTGGCACACCCAGACAGAAAAAGAAAGAACACGAGACATGAACAGCAACAGCAACACCAACAACGTTGAAGGGCAAGGCCAACTGGGCTACTTCGTGAACCCTCTCATCATCTCCGGCGCCGGCATCATCTGCTCCTGCGTCGCCCTAGCCACGTACCACTTCATCCTCTTCAGGCTCTGCCTTCAAGGCCGACGACAGTTGCAGCAAATCCCTCAGCCAATAAGTCCGCCCCCCGAGGACATTCCCTGCGGCGTCGACCCTGAAATCCTCAAGAAAATCCCAATTCTGCCTTACTCTCACAAGAAAGATGACGCCTTTCGTTTGGACCAAACTGAATGCGTTATTTGCTTGGGCGAATTGCAGGATGGAGAAAAGGTTCGGTTATTGCCTTCTTGTAGTCATGCCTTTCACATACCTTGCATCGATCTCTGGTTCGCTCAAAATTCCAATTGTCCCATTTGTCGAGCGCCCTTAATTATAGCCCCTCCGCCGTCCCTGCCTGTGGCTTCAGAAACTGTTGTTGATGCTGAACCAAGGGTCTGTCATATTCAAAGTGATCACAACATTGCCGCTTCTGGTTCGACGTCACGGGCCCCTCCCGGCGCCGCCACGCTTCAGCACTCTCTCTCTGTGGCGTATCGTCACGAGCAGGAAAAGCCTCAGGATTTGATGGTAGGGATGAAGAGGTCTCTGTCCATGGATCATTCGTCGTATGTTTCCGTCAGCATACAAAGAGACGAGGCAAATAAAGCTGCTGCTTCTTCTTCTTCTTCGCCCTCTGTCGCTGCAGGGATTGGGATTGCGCACGCTAAAGCGCTTGATCACGTGTCGTCCATGTTGATGATGTCTTTTGCGCAGTTTCGGAATAGTCGAAATGATAGATCCAAAGGCATTCTACCGAATTGAGATAATTAGGTTTTGTTTGATGGTTCTCTTTTAATGAGCCGGATATTGCGTTGAATGGGCTTTATTGTTCTTATTCTTTCTTGAATCGTTCTGGCCTCTCCAAGAATTCAACCGTAATAAATTTTTCACACATGTGTACAAAGAAGATAAACGCACATGCATCGTTTATACTGTAGCCTTTTGGCTTCATGACGGAGCATATAGATATGCTGAATGTGGCACAAGAATGGCCCGATCATAAATTGTTGTGTGACAAACATTCGCATCTTCGTTTGCATGTAATGCTTTATATCGCTCAACTTTTGCAGGTTTAACCTTTAATTTCCCAGAGATTTGTAGGTAAGTGAGTGATGTGTGTGTGTATTAATACTGATGAACTAGGCATTAGATGAGTGTAACCAAAAGAAAATGCACAAAGTACATGATTAATTAGTGGGATTTCGTTACCATACGTTCAAGGATACACTAACACATTTTTATTCCAAATGCATCCTATGTGTATTTTGATTTGTGTGTAATGATTTGTCTGAAGATAAGCTTCAGGATTGTCAACAATAACGCTTCAATTCAGCATAATATGGCTGACAAAAAAAAAATATCGCCTGTTTTCCATACAAGTTGTCTCTTTTCGGTTTATACAGGAGCCGTTTGGAATAATTTATAAGTATTTTTTAATCGTAATTTGCGGAATAAGAAATAAATATGTGAGAGAAATTTTATCTTAACTTGCGTAAAATGTGCTTATAAGTGATTTTTAAAGCTATGCCAATAGATCCATAATAGTTCATTGGTTGTGCCCTTTTATTGAAATGCTCACTCCTTTTTTTTTTTTTAAACACGAACTATATATAATATTGTTTCACGGCACCCATAAAGCTTATTGCTACAGCATATTAATACGTTTGAAAATTTTCCTTTCAGTCTGCTGCTTAAATGGCGCCCACAACAACATAATGCAATAAGGTACATCTTTGCTGAAGTCCTATTTGGCCTATTGGCAATAAGGTGCATCTTTAAATCGGAGAATTGGCGAGTTCAAGCAAGGTAAGGTTGAGATGAAGTGAAGAGTTTTTTCTCTTTTTTTGGGGGGGGGGGTCTTGTTTTTTTTTTAAAAAAAGTAAAGTGTGTGAGAGAATAAAAAATGTGTTGTCATTTTTGTTTTGTGTGGAAGTTGGAACTGCGCTGTGTGTGTTCATTTGCAAGTGAGTAGACAGAAAAGGACAGAGCGCATAAGAGCATCTAAACTTTATATCGTCATGGGTAAATTAATTATTAGGTCCATAGTGTAGGATAACTCTTGTCTGGGGACCCTGGAAAGCAAAGCAAAGTCAGTTCACTAGTGACAAACAATAAATCATATTTTTCATTACACTTAAATTAGTATTTTGATGTCGCTTCAGGGACATCTGATAATTTAGCATGTTAAATAATAATAAATTTATTTGAAAAATTAATTCTAATATTTAATGTCATCATGTATGTACACGAAGAAAAGTATGATGAGGAAGACAAATTACATTCTGGTTTAAATTTAGTGACATAATTAATCAAACATTGCAGTCGTTGCTATTTTTGAATTGGGAAATAAAAAGAAATTTTAATCTACCTACCCTTTCAGTTGAATTATTGTGTGACGCACGTTTTGAGAATTGAAAACTTTGGGTAGCTATCAATTACCATCTGCTCTATACCTAATTGCTTTGGCTTATCTGTTTTGGAGAGAAAACGACGCTACGTAATGAACACGATCTTTCAACATCTGCTACCTTCCCTCCCTCCCCATTTCTCCTAATTTTCTTGACAGCAAGACGTAATAACAATTAAGAGCCAAAGAAAAATGGAGAGGAAAAAGAAAGAAGAAAGGGATATGTATAAAAATATAATATAAACAAGTTACAGAACAGAAAAGAGGGCACCACACTGAGCACGCCAAAATTGGCAATGATAAATAGAAAGTAGAACTGTCCTGATTATATTACATGCACGTAATAATAATGAACAATAACAAAGGTGGTGTTATCTTTATGTGGACGGGCCATGTGGATGGTGGGCCAATGAAAACTATAAAACGAACTCCACAAAGACAATGCTTTTTATGAAAAGAATTTCTTAATGACATGTACACCCGCAAGTATCAAATATTAAACAAATCCGCATTATTGGATGTTCTTCACAAGAGAGAATTTGTTGTGTTAGGGATGGGACCCAGATCCTAAAGCAAAGGAAAGAAATTTCCTGTGTATCGATATCCTTTTTCCTCTCTTTAAGGCGTCTACAGAAACCCCCCCGAGCAAAAGGGCCACCCTCCATCATGCTAAATAACGAGGTTCTTTCCCTCACAGTGGGGTTTGTTATATAAATATGAAAAAAAGAAAAAAGAAAAGAAAAGGTGGGTTGGGTTGGGTTGGGTGGGGTGGAATTGAATATGTACCAATATTTGTGGGTGGAAAATAAATAATTAGGAGGCAAATGGAGCCCTGTGAGGAATGCCTTTTCTTCTTCTTGCTGTTGAAGCAGCTGGCGGAGGAGGCGTGGCCGGATACATGTCTTGTTGTGACCCTTCACGCGATCCCTCTTCTGATACCGATCTCCTTGATATTCCCTCCCTTCTCTCCGTTGCCTCGTTGTTTCCCTCCACAGCGAAGCTTGCGTCCCCATTTCTCTTCACTCCCACAAGCTATAAATGATTCCCCCCACGGAATCTTGTTATTAATTTAATTAATACAATAACAATAACAATAATGATAATTACCCCTACTCACTGACGCATAACCCTGCCCCATGTTCCCATCCACTGTCAATAATTATCCCTACTGATTATAAAACTCACGCTCCCTGCTCTGCTTTGATTATCATAATGGGGATATTGTTTATGATTTGTATAAACAAATGGAAATGTCAATGCAGGGCCTCCCAGTATTCATTAATTATGGTGTGAGCATGTTCATATGGCGAGATAATCAAGATTATGAACAGCGAGCGAGGTAGCGGTGGGATTATAATTATGATGGTGATGTGTTTTCAAATGTAGGTGACGACATGTATGGGTGGTGGGTGTTATGGCCATATGATGAAGATGATTGTGAGTTGTGAATGATGTGCATATTGAAAATGATATATGAAGCAAGAGAGAGAGGGAGAAGGGGGAAGAGAGAGAGAGAGAGAGATATCTCACCTTACAGCCCAAAGAACAGAAGCGGAATGGGTCCAGGAGGCTTCTTCCACAAATCTCACAAATGTGAGCTACTCCTTTCCCAGATTTTGGCTGAGGCCGCTCGTTCAGGAACAGGACTCTCGCGCTGTTTATCACATACGTCTGAACCCCACTTATGTCCAGGACTTTCTGAATCTCAGACACTCTCACCACATCGTGATACGAAGATCGCCTTATCTAATAATTCAAATTCACAACGAACAGCAGCCCGCAACAAATCAATCCGTATTAGTAATTACCCATTTCAATCTTAATTATTCACATTGTCCAAATGCCGCATCAAGAAATTAACTAACAAGAAGAAGCAGAGGAGGATATATACCTGAATGACTTGATGATCCTTGTGTCTGGAGGAACGGCAATAGAAGCAAAATGCGTCGCGATTGCAGTCAAGGCAAAACATGTTACACTCGCTCCTGGCGGCGTCGCCGTGAAAGCGGCAGACGCTGAAGAAGGAAGTGGTTAGCAGGGGCTCAAGCCACGGAGGCACCGACATTGCGTTCTGAACCAATGCAAATCAACATTCGAGATCAGGAATTCAGATCAGTTTCAAGCAAGGAGAAAAATGTGAGTGTGGCAATGATAACATAACAAGTAAGCGATGCGAATGTGAGTCAACGGGAGAGAGCTGAGTGAAGAAGAGGAGGGAATGACTGTGAAATTCAGGAGAATGAGGACAATGGCTGAGACACAGAGGGAATCGCAGGCGAAAATGCAGAGAGAGAGAGAGAGTAAACGGCCTTCGACTAAGAATTCAACAACAACACCCCCGGGGGGGGGGGGGGGATTATCAGATTAAAGAAAAGGAGGGAGAAGGAAGAGGGAGAGGCGTGGGATGAAGTGGAGGGTTTGGCGCTTACGGGAGATGGCGTTCGGAATAGGATGGAGGTTGGACTGTGTCTACGTGGCTACGCATCAGCTAAGGGGCTGTATTTCCAAAAGCGGCTAAGGAATTCCACGCCCACGTGTCTGGTTCCCTCCATGTGGCGTCCCCACCTTGGTCCATCGCATCCCCGGCCCCAACTCTCTTCCTCAGCTAACCTCAATCTCTATCGCACGCCGTTAATCACTGTGCGGCTTTCACCCCCGCATCTAATTCTAACAGTTAATTTACATTGCCCTCTAGACTACTTTGCAGTACCACTGTACTACCTCCGATATTTAATATAAAAACTTATTTAATTTTTATTTTTATTCTAAATATAAGACTTCAATTTATTTTGTCTCTAATATTTATGTATTTTTTTTAATGGTAGTTCTAACCAGCACATTTGATTAACAAAGATATTTTTAAAAAGACAACACTTATTTATTACAAATAACTAACTTAACTTATTTTTTAATCTTCTCAAATTAATCAAATAGCTTTTATAACTAGAACTAGAGGTAGTATATATGATAAATTATTAATAAGGGTAATATGGTTCTTTATATGTTAAAATTGTTGTAATTTCGTTACTGAGTTAACAGATAATGACATTGACTATAAATTTTAGAGAGAAAAACTAATTCGACTAAAATGTAGCGCTCTTAGATGAATGAATTTTTTTCTGGATAAAATGTTATTTTTACTCCTAATTAAGTCATTCATAGAGGAATAACTGACATATTGAAGTTTAATCCTCAATATAATATTTATTTAACTAATTTGATTAGATTAGGAAAGTTAGGTAAGTTAGTTAATTACAAAAAATATGATATTTTTTTAAAACACCATAATCATCTTTCTCAATATCCTCCCTCTTTTCCTCTCCTACTTGATTATGATTGAGAGAGTATCAATATGGATAATTTAAAAAAAATTGATAAATATGATAAATATATTTTACATTTAGGATCAAAATTAATTTAATAATTAGATCCTGTATTGAGGACCGGAGGAGTAACATCGAATGTTTGGCACTTTTGTCCCCCGCCAAAAAAAAATCATGGGATGTTAGTTGATTGAAAATGTCTACTGATGATCTAAAATATCATGTTTTTTTTATCTTACGTGCTTACCCCTGAAATTCTGTGATTCAACCAGAGGGCGTTCATATCAGCCTTGAAATTCCAGCTTTATTAGTAATCATGGTTCATCGAAGCTGGTTCTCTATGTGATGAGCTAATAATAGATAAGAGCACATGCTCCTTAGACTTTGTTCTCCAATATCAAAAGCCAAATCTATTTGCAGGGGTCTTTAAGTCTTAATTACGCTTAATCCTTTTGTATGCGTGGATTAAGGAGTGGTAAGAAATTAAGTTCCAATGATTTTGCCATGAGCTGTTTTAAAGACATTGGTTCAATACGCAGGAAAGTATTTATTCAATAAACACTTCCGACGTGGATCGATTCAGTGAATAAATATGGTCATTATTAGATTATCAAATATTCATAATTCCGTTGGATTTGTTACCATTTACACATTTATGGAAAAACACCATTGTAATAATTTCTTCTGATGAATTTCTAGAACAATGGAAATCCACCGAAATCATTTTCACATGATGAAGTGTCCTATCCTAGTTGTGCAACACATGCATGTTCTCCTTAATTTTCTCCTTAATTATTTTATATTTGAAGTTTCAGACCTTATTTTCGACGACGTTCAAGCCAAGGTGTATACAATTATATCATTAATAATCCCGACTGGATATAATTGTAGGCAGAATGTCATATCAGGAAGGAATTAATTAATAAACTTTTATAATCAACATCACGCGAGCATAATTTAATTCCCACTCATGTATATTTCTTGATCCTAAACTTTATAATTTTTGTTTTGGCTAAACATGTTTGAATTATCGCAGGCTTCCGGCGGCAACTCTAATTGCTGGTAGTGGGATCCACAACAATGACAAGAAAATTCATAACATATAGTACTATGATCCCCATTTAGATTCTTGGGGCTGATCAGAAGTTATTACCATTGATCTGTAAATTGATAAATGACAATATTTTAAATGTAAAGTAAAAGACAAGAATATTCTCTTTGGGATTTAAGAGAGATTTGCATCCACGATGTTTGCGTATAGAACAAGATAACCTTTCTTGTATCAATACCGACATCGTGACATTCACCGAAACTAAGATTACCATTCACCATTATTTGAAAGAACCTATGAATTATTACTCTCTTCCTCCATTAATTTAAGCTTCATAGTGCCCACAATACGAGGGAAGAAGATCACACACACACATGTACGTATGAGCATACAAATTAATGAGAGCCATTATTAGCTAGTTTTCTTTTTCTTCCTCCTAGTTTCGGTCAAATTGAAAAAGTTTCATATGAGCATACATATACATACACGGCATCCACATTGTTGGAAATTCAAGTTTCTGTTCTGCCTAAAACTGCGCCAGTTATTTAGTTAATGAAACCTAATGTTTCACGGGCTATTGTCTCACATTCGCGCCTGCCTGATTAGATGATGAAAGGTAGCCAACAACAATAAAAAGGAACGAAAAGAGGGGAAATTAAAGGAGAAGATAACGGCAACTTTTTATCAATACTTCTAAAACAATAAAGTGAGAAAAGATGCATGGGAAAGAAAAAGACTTAAATTGAGGGTTTTTTTTTTTTTTTGCGTAGACTTATTAGACCGTAATCAAGAGCGTCAAAAGTAAACTGAATCAACAAATTAACAAAAATAAAGTATAATTGATTGCGTGATAAGAATGCGAATTATGCGGCATTACATGACTTAGTGTTCTTAATCATTATAGTGTCAGCTTTAGAAACCCTAACCATGCAAAACAGAATATATGAAATAGAAAGTTAATAAAAGTGTGTGCGTGTGTATGTGACAAATATATATATGTATATATGTATTTTCAGGTCCAAGTACATAAAAATTGAAAACCACGAAAAGGTAATAATAGTTACATATGCATGGAGGTCAAGTATATATCAGCGTAGAGAGCAAGAATAAAAACAGTATCGCTAATTTCGAGGCTTCATCTTGGCAAGGGAACAAGGAAAAGTGAAAGCTAAGCGCTGTGTTATATATATATACTTGCTCAAACTAAATCTAGCCTGGCAAATCAGAACGTATAATACTAATTAATGAGTTAGTCGAAAACTTTGTGTAGAGAGCAAGGCTGGGGGCAGGTGGCAACAACCTAAGGGAATATAATAGGGAAAAGAAAATTATTCCAATATATAAAAATATATAAAATCAGCTGCATGCAGTTTTTCCTTGTGATTTAAGGTGTAATAAACTTATAATAATTGGATACGTGCCAGGATACATGCAGGGAGCATCATATGCTTCCAGTTCCACAAATCACTTTTTCAAGCGCAAGATAATGCAGATTCTTTCCTAATTATTAATATAAAAGTCTCACCTCTTTTACCTTCCCAAAAGGCATCTCAAATGGCCTCAGCCTCCTTCACTTCGCGACAAAATATAATTGAGAAGCCATCCAAATGATTCTAATTATATATATATATATATATATGTATGCACACACACACATATATTTACAGCAAGCTTCACGTAATATAAGTTCACAGTTCCTCGGTTAACTAGAAATTATACACAAACACACATACATTGGAGACAGCGACATTCTTCTAACCCTCTCTTTGTTTCTTTATACAACATCCTAATTTTATTCATTTTTTAAATGCCTATTTTCATAATATTGTATTGCGCAGAGCGTTGTGGGCGGCTGCGATTGCTCATTATTGTAACGCTTTTTTTTTTTTTCTTGTTTTAAATATTGTAGCTTTGTTGGGAATATTTCAACAGCTTGACTCCAGCGGCACATATAATATGGTTTATCTTATTAATTGATTAGTCGAATTGTCATTATGTTAAACAGCCAACAAGATTAGGCAACCAACTATCTGTACGTTTCTAACTTTTTAACACCATTGATCGATCCATTTTCTAGTTGAAATAATCCTCTAATATGTCTTTTATTTACTTCCGCAGCCTCAAGATAACCCTTAAGTATGCGATTCTATGGAAGCTATGGGAGATCTTTTAGAGATGAGCAGTGGTATTTTTGGCATTCAGATTGGAGTTTTATTTAATATTTCTGTGAGAGTTTGCCTTGAATTTTTCTGACACAAAATCATGATGGCTCAGATCCAATTGAAATTAATCGATTTTATGGACTCCGCTTAAAAAACTGGTTAGGCACTAAGATAACGAACCATGATTAGTATATTTTCCCCCCATAAAAAGGTTCAATTAATGAAATTAAACGGTGAAGTTTGTGAAAGTGCTGAAGAAATTAAAAGTTCAGTCATATTCAACACAATTATGCGTCAGCATCAGCGAGAATGGTGTTCCGAAGAGTACAAAAAGAAAAGAAGATAAAGAAAGCGGTACACGTGGTCTTTAAGGAAGCAACATCTTCTTTTAGGTTTAATTCGTCTCCATTTATTCTTATCTTATAGGGTGTAATTGGATTAACTAGCAAATTTTTTTTATACACAATGAAAACTCTTGAATATAGATTGTACTTCCAAGATTCAAGTTAAGAAAACAATAGCCTTTATAAATTAATCATTTGAATCTATCTTTACATGCACTCAAAGACAAAGACAATAAGTTTGATCTTAGTATATTTGTGTTTTTGTTGTGTGCAAATGAATTGATAATAAGGGTTTATATAAAACATGAAATGATGCCTTGAAGAGATATCTTTTTGAACATTACCCATTTAATTAAAAGTCACAATCATATGTTGATTCATGAACCAGTATATATAAATA